AGCACAACACGTTGCTACTTCTGCCGCTAGGTAGACCTGCAGTCAGCAGTCTCTCTGTCGTTGTAGGTTGTCATTTTCATGACAGGCACTTCTTTGGAAGAGTTCGTATTTATTTTAGATGTTGTGATTGGTTGTGAGTGTACAAGTGGAGCTGGAAGACAGTTGGAAATGAGGTTTCGAATCGCTCCCAATAACTACCGCAACATTTACATGTCGCTTTAACAGCTGTGGCCACTGTACCTATTGGTAGAGCGCGAAGTGAATTTCATGACGTGTTTGGGCGCTATTAGGTCCGTGCTAGGAAACAGGAAAGTTACACTCTTACACATGTAGGTCTGTTGGCTTTACTTTCTCGTCTAATTTTGACGAACTTAAAACACTTCTTCAGCCCCGTGATACTGTGAAATATGAAGTGCCCTTTGTAATTTTGTATGAATGTATATATGTATATATGTATGTATGTATGTATGTATGTATGTGAGTCTCGCTAGCGCCTGAACGGCTGGACGCGCTTTATTCTTATTCGGTTTTAAGAGTTTACTCGTTTCTAAAGGTCGTGGCTTCGATTCCGGATAAGGTAATTGGATTTTTCAGCTGACCTAAACTTTCCAAGCTGCACACTGGTCCGCGATTTGCACACGGCTTTCAACATTCTGTATGTATACGATTATATAACAAAATTGTGCAGGCAGGAAGCAAAAGTCATGCAAAATCATAAGAATGAACATGTTCACGGTATACGACAAGGCGAAAACAGGCATAAAAAATATAAGAGGCTTAAATTTGGCGGTTGTCAGGCTTACGACCGTTCAAGTGACTAAGCTGCCGTTGTAGCATAAGATACGTAAAAAAGTATGATATACTTTGCGAAGTCTATACTGACAGAGGACTTGTATATAGTGCAAAAGCTATATGAGCGAAATGTACATTTGAAGAAAGGCCAAGCATATTCATAAGAGACAACCCTATCTTCTCATCAGAGAGCATGTTACANGTGCAAAAGGAATATTTTTCAACAACATGCTATATGTGTGAAATGTACACTTGAAGAAAGGCCAAGCGTATTCGTGCAAAAGGAATATTTTTCAACAACATGCTATATGTGTGAAATGTACACTTGAAGAAAGGCCAAGCGTATTCATAAGAGACAACCCTATCTTCTCATCAGAGAGCATGTTACATAAGGACTTTTACCGGGAGGATTCAGTTAAAAAAAATCTCTGGTCGTGGCCCTGAAGGGGCTTGACATTAAGACGAACTGATTGACAGTATAAATCTAGCCATAAAGTAACTTTGACTTTGACTTTGATTTTGATGGTCAGTTTCGTACTGGATTCTATGAAGAGAGGACTTGAGCCGGAGGCAGAGGAATAACAATTGTTGGAGCCGTTATCAGGAAACGTTTAGTAACAGACTGAGAAGACTAAACTGTATGCTGTAGTGGACTGTAAAGTGTGGAGACAGTGATAACGTTCTAGTTATTTGTATTTACCATCTATAAGCAGTCAGTAGATCTATTGACCAATCTAAACCCCGTCTGTAGTCACACATACTACACATAATAATCGCAACGAACAGGTACCTAGTCGAAATCAATCGTATCTGAGCTAGTATGTGCAATATCTTTGCACCAATTACCATGCGAGACCTGTTTATAACCCGCAAAATAGGGCCAAAGAAGAGTTGCTGAGACGCACTGCGCAGTTCGTGAATTTTAGTTTAGATCTCTACCCGTAGGTAGAGCTGAATTCCCAAGAGTCAACAAAAGACAAATGACATTGTGCTGGGGGAACTACTTATAAGTGAAACGTCACACACAGTTTGCCTTGCAGTTTAAATCTACTTTTATCAATGGAAACCAGTCACAAATCTACGAATGTTAATGCTTTTCTCGTAGCAGGCCACAAAAACAGGATCTAAATGCCACTGCATCTTTCTTTAGGCCGGTATAGACCCTCAAAACATCGCCTTAGCTTTCTCGGAGAAAGGAACGTGGATATAGAAGTGTTTTCTTGCTTTCACGCATGATGGCTCTGCGTGACGGCTGAAAGGCCCAAACAAAAGCAGGGAATAAAGCGAGGAAGGAGATCTGCAAAGAAAATAATAAAGGAGCATTTTGTAAGGAATCTGTATGCAAGTGGAAAAGGAAGAAAATCTTGTTTTCAAAAGTGGAGCAAACATACATTCCGTATAATAACAAAAGACGAGTCTTTTTAAGTTGTTTTCGTTTTATTCTGTGAGCTGCTTTCTGCGTGAACAGAAGAATATTTTATCAACGTCGTGTTTCTCATTGTTGTGATGTGTGATTTTTATGGTGAAGTTGCATCGAACACAATTGTAACTGAACAAGGGCGGCTTGAACTCAAGTAAATTTTCCTTTTGGTCCCGTGTGACGTTACCACATAGATATTTTTTTATCTTAGATTATCCTTTGCTGTTTGAATTCAGTACAAGAATCACATACAGTGTTAATACTAAGATGGCCGCGCCATAGCTCAGGCGGTTAGTCGCTGGCTTCCCATCGCGGCGGCCCGGGTTCGAGCCCGGGTCTGGTCAAGTGGGATTTGTGGTGGAAAAAGTGGCGCTGGGGCAGGTTTTCTCCGAGTACTTTGGTTTCCCCTGCCAGTCTTCATTGCTTCACAATCATCCTCACCTATCATCTGGGGCTGGTACAATAGGCCAAATTTCCACCGCGGTGGAAAGCCAGCGACTGTCCACTTGAGCTATGGCGCGCCCCTTCTTCAGCCCCACATTATTATACGTTCAAAAACAAGTACAACTTCTGAGTCTTCTATCGATGAATAAAATCTACTGTCTTTTTATAGTTTCTAAATAAAGGTTCTCTAGCGATATTTTTATTTATTTATTTTCATCAACACTACTTGTACCATTAAATTGTCCTTTTATTTGTGTTCTGAGTTTCTTTTCTTTTTGTCTTTCTGGGCTACCTTTTGCTTCACTAATCCGAACTCTCGCTAAATACGAATAACCCCCCCCCCAAATCCGGATTAGCAGGGTTTACTGTATTTTATTGCTGACTGAATGCGCTTGAAATCAACGGGAGGGACATACGGAGAGAGTTCACTCAAATATGTCTTGCGCTGTTCAAGGAGACATGGTTTCAGGCAGGTGTACAGACACATTGCCGCCGTATTGTCTGCACAGCCGTATCGGGTGCCCGCTTGGGTTTTCCTGTTGCTTTTAGGTCAGAGCTGGCCGAACTGGTCTATGTGGGCACCTCCCAGCATGGAGGCTTTGAACCTTGTAATCCTCACATTCCGTGATATTCACATATCCACATCAGAATCTTACCAACGCAGAATAGGCACGATACACTGAAACAGAAACTCTTGGCTTGTTCGTGACGTACTACATAACTGACATGAGTGAAACATATTAAGGTTGGACAATTCGTTACTGTGGTAACCCGAAATTGCGCAACTTCGGAGTTTTCATGTCACCGTTAAGAACTGTTTGCATATACATTGCCTCCTAAAGACCGGAAAGAAGTAACGTCTTGGGCGAGCCCATGGTAGTCTTGACCCCTCAGCCTGTGCAGATGCATCTTATAGGTCCCTGCAGTGCCCAGTCGAGTAAAGCAGCAGTACCCGTTCTACTCCCGGGACCAAATGTAATAGGAAGCTCTCAGCGGACGAGCCAAGTTCAAAGGCAAGACATATGTTATAGGATAATATTAAAATGTGAAACTTTGGACCGCATCCGTGTTGGCCGTGATTTACGTGTGGCGGCCTCTTGTGGGCGTGGCTCCATGAAGGGCGGAGAGATACTTTGGCCAGTTGAGCAGCTGTTAGCTTCAATATAAAGCGCTTGTCGTGGCGGCGGTATGGGAAGTAGAAGGTTGGACCGTTTGGGGTGCGTTGTTGAAATGGAAGTAAGAAAGGCGTTGAGGAGGGTAAACAACAGGAAGCAAGGAAAGCTGAAGAGGTGGCGGTCAAAATGGCTGGAAGAATGATCATTGAGAGCTGAAAGTGAAGTTGTCCATGTTCTTAACTAAGCACTGTGCCATGAAGACGTATGGGGGATTGGATGTATAGATTCGCGTATTCTTGACCTCGGCACTGATTGGAGGTATGTGGTCAGCTTCACGCCTCGGCCTCTTTACCCTCGGGGAAGAGCCCCCTGGTACCTGTTGGATAGGAGGATGGACCGGTATAGACAACGTGGAGAAGAGAAAAATCTTGTTTCTACCGGAATTCAAACTCCGACTCCTCGGTCGTTCAGCTCGTAGCCAGTTGCTGTACCAGTTGAGCTATCCCGGCCTGTGAAAGTGAAGAGACTGAGGAAAATGATGAATATCACACAAAAAGGGAAATCTGTGGTAAAGGCGACCGAAATCATTACACTATTTTCTATTGCTAGTGGGGTGGGACTAAGTCCCTTGTACTGTGGCCACTTCTGGCCTATTGTACCAGCCCCAGATGATAGGTGAGGGTGATTGTGGAGCAATTGGTGGAATGAAGATTGGCAGGGGAAACCGAAGTTCTCGGAGAAAACTTGGCCCAGAGCCACTTTGGCCACCACAAATCCCACTTGACCAGACCTGGGATCGATCCCGAGCCGCCGCGGTGGGAAGCCAGCGACTAACCGCTTGAGCTGTGGCGTGGTCAAATCATTACACTAAGTAAGTAAGTAAGTAAGTAAGTAAGTAAGTAAGTAAGTGGCCGGTCACCGTAGCCGAGCGGTCTAAGGCATGTACTGTCTTCCCTCGCTTGGAAACCGGGATCGTGGTTTCGAATCCCACTCAGGGCATGGATGTTTAGTTTGTGTGTGTGCATTTTTTCTGTTTGTCTAGAGGTAGAGGCCTTGCGACGAGCTGATCACCCGCCCAAGGAGTCCTACCGAATGTGTTAGATCTAGAAAAACCGAAGTGAACGGAGAAGTTCATGGAGGTAGGCCTAGGCCCACTGGGGCTGTAGTGCCAAGGGAAAAAAGTAAGTAAGTAAGTGCCTAATAAAGCAATTTTGTGGCTGTCTTTTCAGGAGTTGGCATTGTACTGATCACCGTGAGCGGGGTGGCGTGGAGGCTAACAGCACACGATGCCCCCTCCTGCCGTATGATGCTTGGACTTGGGGGCGGTGACGAAGGTGGGGCTGAGCCCAACAGAAGATTCGTCCCGCGACTGCCGCCATCTTATGGACGTCCCCACCACCCTTACGCGGGTACGTAACAAACCCTGACATCTTAAGTGCCGACATTTGTAGCGGTCTGGCCGAAACATTTCTGTCGGTACGTCACGCCTCGAGTAGACAACTTTACGGAAGAAAAGTCCCTGTCTGTGTTCAACGGGATCTCTGGGATGGCCAGTTTTTTTTTCCCATTGTGTGTTGAGGATAGAATCTAGGGCGATCTAGAGACTATGTTCATATCACTGTCTGCTGATGACGCAACGTCAGAGATGTTTATATACAGTGTGGTTGTCTTGAACAGCTGATATCTGTTTTCTTACTCCGCCTTTCTAATATACGATTCAGATCTCAGGTTCTTGACCGTTTATTTGTTGTTTATTTAACGACGCTGTCAGCATCTCCAGACTATATAGCGTCAAATGGTACTGTGATAAGTGAATAATGAATTTGTAGAGGATGTGGAAGGACGCAGTAGTGGCCTAATTTGAGGTACTATTCCCACATTTTCTTGGAGACACTGAGGAAAGAGTTGAGTTAGGTTAACCAGTCTCGGGGGCCGAGATTTTAAACCAGGAAATTCAGACCTTCAGGAGACGTAGCCTCTCAACCCCGCCTTTCGTTTGTCAGAAGCCCTGGTTCAAATCCTTACGAGTTTTTTTTTTTTATCTTGGCACAGGCGCCTCCAGGATTCTTAGAGTACCCAGTGGAGAAGAATAAACAAAATGAAATCCGTGGTTTTAGTCCGCAAGCGTACTATACTGACCGCCTCTGTAGTCTAGTGGTCAGAGTTCCTGGCTACAGATCCAGAGGTCCGGGTTCGATTCCCGGCGCTACCAGATTTTCTGAGAAATAGTCGGTCTGGAACGGGGTCCATTCAGCCTCGTCAGGATAATTGAGGGTCTGTTTCATAGAAATAGCGGCTCCAGTCTAGAAAACCGAAATTAACGGCCGTTGGGATTCGTTGCGCTGACCACACAACACGCTCTATCCGCTAAAGTTGGAACTAACTTCGCCGACAAGCGGCGGTCGCTCGGTCGGAGAAGAATAAAAAAAATTGGAAATAAAATTTGATCCTTGGTGTTTGGTATTTGTTATTTGTTGCTGAGGGGAACATTTGGACCTGAGAAGGAGGAAGAGGCAGGAGGATGAACGCATGTGCACAGTGAGAACAGCTTCATAATTTGTAGTTTTGATCTGAGATTAGGGTGATCAAATTGAAAGAGAATGAGATGGGAAGGACCTGCATCACACATTAGCGAAAATAGATATGGGTACAGGGTCCTGGCAGAAAACGTGATGGAAAAGAACCACTAAGAATACCTAGACATATACGTATAGGAGGGTAATATTAAAACAGATCTGGAACTGAGTAGGCAACATCTACCACCATTTCCAACCCCGGTTCAGAGGAGCCTTCTGCCTCCATCTTCAAGTTAAAAGATTGAAGAAACAAGTTCGTCTGAATCATTAGTACCAATCCACCAAACTAGACGGTGTCACATTCCTTAAATTATAATAATGTATCCAGTAAGTATACGTTATAAGCAGTTCAGGGGTGAGTGACTGTATTTTTGCAACTGGAAGTTGTTAAGAAGAAACTTAATAAAGAAGTACCTAACCTCAATAACTCCATTTATACGAAAATACTAAACTTGATAGAATAACAGTGTGCACTAAGTAGTGCTGCTATTGAGAGGATTTTTTTTTCTATTTTTATCATATAAACAAAAAGAATATTTCCTAAGCTGTTTCCTCAGTTTCTTTCGTTCACAACCTGACACACTATAACAGTCAGTGGTTGAGTGATTTGGCCCTGATTACGTAATAATCTCTGACAAACACTTTCAAAGAAATTTTCACAGATGGTTGTTATTTCGATATTGCCACCATTTGCTTCATATTTGTATACATGCATTTTGAAAATATTCCTGTTAATCGATCAGCAGCCGCTCGTTATTCTGAGCGATTGCAAATGTAACAGATGTCTTTGAAGTAAACATTTCCTGCCACTAGGTACAGTTTCTGCAGATAATTCTACCATTCATGTACATATGTGTAAAACATATCACAATTTCAATTAATATATTCATAATCAACAATGTGACATTTTTTGTGGAGGCAGAGGTTGAAGATACAATGCCGACTGAAGTATCGATGCTTGTCAGTGGCTCCTGGCAGTCCTGTGTACAGCTCTGACTGTGCAGTGCAAGTTGGCAGAGCAGCGACAGAATTGGCAAGTTGTATGTAGATAATGTCAGTAGTTGATACATCATGTTGTGCTCTCATGTACAGCAATGATGTACCCAGAGTTCCAGTACCGCCCGCCACCACCTTCATACCAAGCCTCCATGCAGGAGTACCGGCTGAGACTACTCCTGCTAGATCGGCATCCTGGTAGTGTCGCACCGGGGCAGGCCCCTGGTGGTCACGCTGTGTCCCCACCGCCAACATACCGTTCTCATGCAGGCAGCACACTCAGGTTTGTGTCCCATCATCTCAGGTTTCATTCTCAGGGAGCAGTGGTATAGCTATTGAGTTATAGAGCACATCTTTGCTACTTGCTTGTTTAGATCTGTGTCTCTCAACTGCCGGGCCCTCGTCTTGTAAAATTAATTTACTGGGCTGTGGTTTCACAAAGGTTGAGAAACACTGGTTTAGATAATTAGTTAGTATTCTTTTTCACTTAGTGGGGGGTGTAGTCCAGCTGGGTCCACTCGGCATGGCGGCCACTGATTGGCCTATTGTACCTGCCCCGGGTGATTATGATGATGGAGAATTTTGTGGAATGAATATTATAAGGGGAAACCGAAGTACTCGGAGAAAACCCGCCCCAGAGCCACTTTGTCCACCACAAATCCCACTTGACCAGACCCGGGATCGAACCCGGGCCGCCGCGGTGGGAAGCCAGCGACTAACCACTTGAGCTATGGCGCGGCCTTAAGTAGTGAGTTATGTAGTCAATTAAAGAACTGTGTAGGACAGAGATAGGTAGTCAGTCAGGTAGTAAATTCGTTAGCTTTATTTTTGGTGAGCGAAATAATTAATTACGTAGTTACCCACAGTCTTTCATAGTGATGTAATTAATTGATTTTATTGTTTGTTAGATAATTAATTACTTAGCTTCAGTCTTTGTTAGCAACATAATCAGTTGGTTAGCTGTATTCTTTGTGAGCTAGGTAATTAATCAGTTGGCACTGCTCTTAGTTTATTAATTAATTACTTAACTTTAATCTTTCTGAGCTAGATAATTAGTTTGTTATATACTGACATTTAATAAGTTTATTTGGTTTTATTCCTTCTTATGTATGGTAAAAAAAAAAGGTAAAGGTAAATATATCCATGTAACAGCCGTGAAGACCCATAGGGTTGTGAGACTCCGAGGCTCCAACATTTTCTCTAGACAGTCGTCTTGCAGATGGCAGTAAGGTTGTTAGCCTTATTTGCTGGCTGCCCTTTACCACCAAGAAGATTCCTGGTACTCATTTCTGATAGATGCTGAGTCAACCCCAGGGTCATAGTGCAACTGGAAGGATTAGGTCAATTGAAAAAATCCACCTCATCAGGACTCGAACCAGCGACCTTCTAGCAGTAGCATAGTGCCTCAGCCAACTATGCTATCATGTGGCCCTCTTTATGTAGTTAGTAAATTAGTTAGGTAATTACTTAGTCAGTCAGTCAGTCAGTTATTTAACTAGTTACTTAGGTATGGTAATTTGATGGCTAAGCCATTTAGTTAGCTAAGTACCTTAGAAGTTAAGTAGTAAGTTATGTGATTGCCTAGTTAATTAGGTACTCAGTTAATTATACTGATAGCTGGTTATCAGGAGAGTTACTTAGCCAGGTAGATCATGTGTGGCCACAAGTGCAGACACCATAATGTTTCATTCTGTTGTGTTCTAAGGGCTCCCCTTGGTGTGAGGAGAGATCAGCCTCAGTCAGACTACAGTCGACCCCCGAGCTATCGATCTCGGACAAGCTCAACTCGCCCCACGCTGGACCCCAATGGTAACACAGGATGCACCACTGCAGAGCACAGCCGAGACCCATCTTTAAGTCTGAGTGACTCTGGTGGAGGGAGTGGAGTGGTGAATGTGATAAGTGTTATGGGCAGTGGTGAGCTCGAGCCTGAACATCTAGACACCATCAAGTTGGCAGGCCTACCTGCCGATCAGGACGTCCCTCTAAGGATGATGTTGAATAAAGGAAATTGCCATAACAATATGGACAGTGATGGAAAGGAAGGAAACCTAGTGACGATTGTTCAGACTGGTAATGACTCCAGTCCAGTTATTGTGACAGTGTCAGGTTCCACAGTAGGTGGCAGCACTAGTCAGCAGCCTGCCACAGGTATTGTTGATACAGAGATGGAGATATTGGCACACCTGTGATGATTATTTGTTTATGTTTTGCACCCAGCCTGTGGCCAATGGTCCATGTTTTTTATCCATGTAGTGGATTTTAGTTATTGATGAAAAGTTATGGCTGGCCATACACTCTGGCACAGAATAGCACATTACAATGGATTCTGTATGAAACATTCAATTATAGGCTCAAAACTTAATCTCATTTTGTATATTCATCATACACCACTAATGAAAAACGCAGGTATTATCAATTTTAAATAATTTTGGAGATGTACAAGACATGAGGACTTCTCTCAAAGTTGATCTTTCAGATAATGTATAACATGTAAATGGAGAAGTAGAGCACCCTTCCTTTATCTGGGCTATGGTCATCTTCCCTGTCATTATCACAGTATGTAGTGGCTAAAACTGAAGGAGCAACACTCAAATTAAGGATTTAAAGTTTTCTCAAATAATAAAAAACAATTGGGAATGAGGATTCAAATCACAATCACCACAATACTTGCGCATAACATTACCAGCCATGGCTACTACATATATCACTAAAATACAAAATAAATTTCATGATAACTTTGGGTGTTCTCTGTTATGCCTAGGGTAGGAAACAGGAAGTTACATTCTTTTAAGTATTTTACTAGAAGTTCAGCATCTCAGCACCCATGAATGCCAACCTCATAAAGTGTGAAAAGTTTAATTTGCCTCTTTTTAAATTTGTGTTTATTACTGTAAATTAGAAGAGGACTGCCTGGCCTCCATGCTGGTATTACAGAAAGAGAGAGTATACATTGGCCGGTGAATGAAAAATTTGCCAGAAAGCCCCTTGTTGTTGTCGTGGATTTGCAGGAATTGCATTCCCCAGCAACATGAAAAATTTGTTAAAACCATGAATCATTATGTTTGTGGGTTTTCTTTGAGAAACTTGTTTGAAAGAAAGATAGTTATGCATATTTTGAGCTGCACAGTGCAGTTATACCGCAGATGTACCTAGGGTACTTGATGAATGCATGACCATGTGTTCCAAGGTGTTAGGTTTTAGTTACATCTGTGGAGAATCTTAGAACACAGTGTTTGTAGAAACAATGCAGCCATTTTGGAGACTATTAACAATTAACATTTATGGCTGTGTGTACTGCATTACCTGTTTGCAGATGTGGAAGTGAATCTTGAACAACTAAAGCAGGAGACATAAACGGAAGACAAGTGACAGAGACACTTAAAAACACTTAAAGGCTATGTTAGACAAGACCACATTACGAATGAAGATATGAGGAAAACCCTGAAATATTATCACCACAACATAAAATAGACGAACACAGACGAAACTAGTTAAACCATATGCACAAAATGACTGGCAAAAAAAAAAAGCGCACATTCTACAGTGTGAACCAGAGTGATGCCAAGACTGACGAATGCCTTGGTAAAGATGGAATTGATATGTTGGAAGAGACCTGAGTCTTGTGACATGAAGTGAACAAGAAAAAAGATATGATTTTAAAATTAAGAATAAAATCTTTTGGGTTATAAACTTCATAGTGCCCAACAGGAATTTGATTTATTTTTACAGCCTTCATACATAACTTGCTCAAAATATGTAGCAAGTTATGTATTCTGATATTCTGTTTTTTCTCGTTCTCTTTACCTCCTCCTCCCTCTCCTCACTCTCCTTCTGTTCTGATATTTCCGCCTCATGCTGATCACTTAGCGACCCAGCCTCTCCATCTGTCTCTATCTTTCCTAAGCTCCTCTTCCTCAGTTTCCTGTCATGTTGTTCCTTCCTTCAAGTAACAGCTTTCCTACTTATTGTTCCCATCTTGATCTTGGTCTGGACATGTTCATTTTGACTATAATGACCAATAATATAGTCCTAACAAACTGCACTTTCTTATTAATGCCTGACAGCTTCAGTAATACTGGCAGGAAGGTCATAGTTTTTTCCTGTGGAAAGTCCTTTGCATTTATATTTACATAAGTTCAGTACATAAAATATATTTTGTTTGTATTTTAGCCTATGGGCTACACAAGTTGGTATGACTGCAGCAGTTTGCAGTTGACACAAGATGTAAATGTTCAGTGTTTATATATGAGGGGCGTTCAAGTTCTAAGGTCTCCGATTTTTTTTCTCAGGACTGGGAGCAGATAGACACATGCGGTTTAGTTTAAAATACGTGTGCACTCTTTGTGAATGCTTGACAGAGATGGCAGCACTGTACAGCACACAGAACTCTAGAGGTGACGGCGAGACTGAGGAGTGTTTTTGATACTTAAAATGGCGACGTTTTCGTCACAAGAACAGCGAGTAATCATTCGTTTTCTCCACTTGCGTGGCGCTACACGCTTTGAAATTCATCGCCAGTTGAATGAGACATGTGGTGATGGTGTCATGAATATGAAAAATATACGTTCGTGGGTGTGACAGTTCAAAGAAGGCCGAACGTTGTGTGACAACGAACCAAAACAATCTCAGCCTTACACTGACAGCATGTTCGAGCGAGTTGAGAAAGTTGTTTTGGAGGATCACCGATTGAGTGTGGAAAACATAGCCTCCAAAGTTGGCATTTCCGTGGGATCTGTGCACACAATCCTGCATGAAGACCTGCGAATTTGGCAAG